CTTCTTTCTAGTTGTTATATTTGGTGTTGACAGTGGGGTATTGCAATCTTCATCTCTTGTTGTTTAACCGTCTATTTCTCTCTTCAGTTCTGTCAGTTTTTGCTTCATGTGTTTTGGTGCTCTGTTGTTAGGTGAATATATGTCTATAATTGTTACATCTTCCTGATGGATTGATCCTCTTAATATTATTAAATGTTCCTGTTTATCTACACTAACATTTCTTATTTTAATATATATTTTGTCTAATGTTAGTATAACCTCTCCAACTTTCTTGTGGCTGCTCCAAAGCTGTGTTTTGTATTGCCAAAGGCTTTGATGGACAGTGTAAGTTAGTGAAGAACTTGCCTCCTTTCTTTTCTTCGTGCTCATATTTCAAATGAAATATTTTACCAATCAGAAAACTCTCCTCGAGCATTAGGTATAGTCCACAGTATGAAGACCTGCATGATATGAAAACATCTACATAGAGCCCTCCTCATGGGATTGGTTAGTTTCTTATCCTTTCCCCTTTATCCTCAATAAATGCAAATCACATCCTCCTTTAAAATAACTAGGAGTCCTCATGACCAGGACTTAAAGGTAAGAAAAATGAATTTAAAAGGAAAGGAAATCAGGAAAAACTTTATAAAAATCATAAAAATGTACATGTGCTAGGAAACAAAATGTTTACTCTTGAATGCATCTGCAAATCATTAAAGTTCCCTAGATTTTGGGGGTCATTCACTTGCTCTCAGTCTAGCAGAAGAACTCCCATGTGATGCCAATTAGAAATGGAGTGGAATGAGGATGGCACGCTGGGGCCTCTCTGTCTGTGTCCCTTAAAGTGCCAGCGTGATTACAGATTTCCAAAGGAAAAAACACATTTAAAAAATAGACATAATTCCATTCTGAGCAAGGGTCCCTGTTTGATCTTTCCCTGTGTCTGAGCCTGCTTGTTGTCCCAAAGGATAAGTGACAGCCCAGACACTCCCATTGGGTGAGAAAACCTCATATACTGTGCCAGTTTCCTGTCACTGCTTTGAGCTCTGAGAGTTCAGAGAGGTGAGGGCAGCGTGACCTCTGCCTGTGTGTTGGCACGAGTCCCTGGTGACAGTGTGTCTGAGCTGCCAGTACACCGGCAATCTGTGGAGCAGCTCTTCCTCACTCTTTCAACAACCAGCCAATTTGGTCTCAGGAAACCACTCTGCAATGCTGGCTGGGTTTGGAAGTCATTTTTAATTTTGTGACAAAGACAAATGTGCCCTATGGGAGTAGTAAGTGGTTTTACTGGTGATATTAATGGAACCATGACCTCCTCTGTATCTATGGTCCTACAAAACAAAGTATGTTTGTATTATAATATGTCAGGCAAGTTCATTCTTAGCCCTTCCTTGAATAAAATTGCAGAGGAAATATACTATTAATACGCCCAGGGAGTATTGTGTGTGTGTGCGTGTGTGTATCTATAGCCATAAGTTCGTTTGCAAACATGGTGGATTTACAATGCCTCTAATGATTGTCACAAACTATGTGTTTTGAATTGTGTTGGATGGACAAAAATCACTGAAGTTCTGACATCTTGGAACAGAATTTTAGTGGGCCCAGTGATGAAACTGGTATTGACTTTTAAAAGCCCATAGCTATAGTAAAATTTAAGTGTTTGGGGGATCTAAAATAACAAAGGGAAAGAAGAAATTCAAAGGCATATTGAATTAGCGTCTTCTATTAATATTTTCATGCGGCTTTGGCATTCATTAGCCTAGAAATGGCTACACTGATGTTTACTATTTCCTGTAGGAACTTTTTATGCTAGTGTCTTTTGTTGGAATGGTTGGTTAAGGAGACAGTAAATAAAATATGAAGGATTTACAGTTTAGTTAAATGAATTAAACCATTTCCTGGTGTTTGTGTTTACCTTGGGACTCACAAAGGAGACAAAAATACAGACTCATAGGAGGAAGGAAAGGAATGATCAAATCCCAGTAGTCCCTGACTAGATGCCTAGCTCAGCAACTTTACTTAAAGAAGGAATTTAATGCTGATAAGGAATCCTTGTCTCTGTATAATTAACTTTTCCTCTCTGCATATGTTACTACACCCACTGAGATTTTCTAATAAATATATAACTTTATTCATCGTAACAGTTAATGTCTCATTCTATTATAGAAGACAAAACTAAAGTAAAAACTAAGTAAATCAAGTGCAAAATCTATAGTTTTCCTTAAATAAAAGTGAGTGTTCCTTTATAATTTGAGTTTTGACTTTAATAATTAAAAATATTATTTTAAAATAACACGTGCTCATTCCAGAAAGATGGACAAATACAGAAAATAAATAAGAAAACAATAACAACCTATAAAGCCATCACCCAAAGAGAATCATTGTTAACATTTTAGTGTGTTTGTTTCTAGTCTTTTTTCTATGCCACTATACGAATACATATTTATACTTTTCATAGTTAAGATGATGAGTTAATTTGTGATTTTCACATCTACCTACCCCTCTCTCTCCATAAGTTCAAATGTCTCATAATACTAATAGAAAGAAAATTAACAGCTAATACATGGGGTTAAAGAATGCCAGTCACCATTTTAGTGTTTGACATACATTAATTCATGTAATCTTCGTGACAAACCTTTGACACAGATGTTACAGATGAGTTGCAGAGGGTAAAACGATTTATTTGCTCAAGGTCTCACAGCTACAAAGGACCAGAACCAGGATTCAAACACAGGCTGTGAGATGTACTCTTAACTACCACAGTCTGGGCCCTCCCTCCGACTCTAAGCCTGCCCCAAAGCCTGCCCTCACAACCCCTTGATGTCTCCTTTTCAGAATTTCTCTAACACTATACAGTATGACATTGCACTTACTTTCCCCACTGGACATGTGGAAATCAGCCTCCGTCTCGGAGAAACCATTGCCACCTGCAGCCCTTCCTATGGGGGGGCTCTGCTTCCAGAAAAGGCAGCCAGGGATTCAGCACCCAGGGTGGGACAGTGCAAGGAGCCCTGGATTGGGGCAGGAGAAACTGACCTCCAGGCCTGGCTCTGCTCATCCAGACAACTCACATCTCCCATTCACACCTATTTTCTCATCTGTAAAATGCTAGGGTTGGGTAGCTGTTGGCTCATTCGTTCGTTTGGTACACGTGAGACAGAGAACACGATCCATTTCACCTGTCTAGGAATTCATCATCCAAGGAGTACCCAGAGAAATAAATTGCCAGTTCAGTGCTTGGTGTTGCAACAGGATCACTGGGGACATGGGGAGAGTCCCTAAGGTGGGCTGGGGTAGAGGAAGGTGCAGGAAGGAAGGGGCCTGGTAAGACTTCCCAGAGGATGCGGCTAGGAGTCATATGGGTGCCTCGGGCTGCAAGATGGGCTGTGGTGAAAGGTCCCTCTAGGCCCTCGCTGCTTCTCACATCTGTGTCTCCATTCCACACACTGCTGTGTGCCAAACTATCCCATCTGCAGCAGGCTACAGCAATGGCCACTTTTTTTTCTTTTTTGGCTTAAAACTATGGGAATTTATTGTCTCGCAGTTCTGGAAACTGCAAGTTTGGGGTGTCAGCAGGGCCAAGCCCCTTCTGAAACCTATAGGGGACCCTTCCTTGTCTCTTCCTACCTTCTGGTGCTTGTCTGCAATCCTTGGCGTTCCTTGGCTTGCAGCTGCATCATGCCGATCTCTGCCTTTGTCTTCACGGGGCATAAGTGGCCACATGGCCTGTATGTCTACATTCACATGCCCGTCTTATAAGGATTAGAGGCCCACTCCTGCTTAACTTAAGTAATTACATGGGCGACAACCCTCTTTCCAAATGAGGGCATATTCGCAAGTACACGGGGACTAGGACTTCAACATATCTTTTGAGGGGGACACAATTCAACCCATAAAAGTCCCCATAGCCACCGTCTAGTTTAGGCAGCCATTGCCTGCTTACTGCTCTTGTTTCTCTCCAATTCATTCTCCACTCAGCATCCAGAATGAGCTTCCTAAGCTGCAGATCTCAGAGAGGACCAGCAAGCAGGTCCAGATGGGGAGCGTTCACAGGACTTCTTTCCCCTTGAGCATATGAGGCCGGAGCCAAGGGAGTAGGGGAAGATCAGAACCCAAGGACTCTTGAAGAGATCATTGCCTGAGGATGTCAGTGGATTCCTGAGAACTGGGACAGGGTAGACTGTGAGAATGTTTTGAAAGGATGTCATGCGCATTCTGGTTTCCTGGAGGACTTACAGGGAAGCTGAACAGAAGGTGGTTTGAATCCTACTTGCCTCTGGGACTGGCCAAATGCCACACTTTTTAAGGAGGTATTTGGTGATTATTTAAAGCCTTTCCAGACCTCTCTGCAGGCACTTGCACATACTTTGCTATTAGTAGATAAGAAGAGCATACTATAGAAACAAACCTAATACGCATATGAAATATACTCAACACTACTTCTCCTGCCTCTCCCCCTCCCCCTAAGCAGCTCAGATCTTATTCATTATTATTAGTCTGCCAGGAAAGGCCTAGAAAACCTTTCAGTCATGTTTCTGTCATTTAAATGATAATCCTCTCCCCAACTTGCTACACTTCTGCATCATCTCTAACTCTGCAAAGAGTGTTGACTCTCCCCATTGCATCTATGCCCTTTGAGTTCTTACAAAGGCCTGGAGGACACTTCCCAAGGCACTTAGCATAGCTGTGGTAAGAAGTTTATGCAAAATATTCTCCTCTCTCCCTTACTGCACTTTTATGGCTTTTCCCCACAGAGGTCCCCCATATCACAGTTGCATATTAGGGTATCAGGGCAATGTGATCGAAGGCCAAGAACTGAACAAGAAATCAGGTTTTATTCTTTTTTTGAGCAAAAACACAAAGGGCCAAATTCAAAGACTGTGAATTGACAGATTGCATCAAGGGGAGAATGGTGTGACTGCGGCAGTGCCCATTTTACCCCACCAGCTGCAGTGTCTAGATGCTTGTGCTTCCACTATTGTTATACATACATACCTATGTTTCATTTGTTTCCCACCCAGATACAGGTAGGCCTTTTGTAGAGATGCACAGTGAAATGCCTGAAACCATATATATGACTGAAGGAAGGCTGCTCGTCATCCCCTGCCGGGTTACGTCACCTAACATCACTGTTGCTTTAAAAAAGGTAAAATTGAGCATTGCTACTCTCAGAATGTTTTTATTGCAAATGAACATAATGAAGTTTTAATCCTTTTACCTCTCTGGAATAATTTCCTTACAAACATTTGGGCTTCTCAGTGCACTTTTCTGGAACATCCTTTTACTATAAGGTGTAAGTGCTAGAAGTTATACCCATGCATGTATTTAAATAGAATACGATGACAACACCGTAAGCATAAAGCTGTGTGAATAATGAAACAACTGAAATGATAAAAATCTGTATGTACTGCCACAAACCTAAGTGTGTGCAAATGTGAGAAAAACCAATTCTACTGCTTACATAAATTAATAACTTTGTGGAGAGTGGTTCACCCAGATTATTGCTAAAGTCAGAACTGTCAGCAGGGGCCTGATTCTCCAAGCATCCCCATGTTCTTACTTCGTGCATAGTGCATAGTGAGCCACCACCTTTGGTTTGAATTGGCAGGTTCCTGGAGACAAAAGGCTTATCTCCTGCTGGGCACCGAAACTTAGCCTCTTAGGAAAAAAAACAGGGGTGGGCGGCAGGGGCGGTGGGTAAGGAGAGAAGAAAACCGTACATGAAACTTCTCTTTATATTATGTTGTAAATTGTGCATGTGGAAAAGGATTTAGGGTAGAGTCTAATAAAGACAAAAATTAAATGTGACATTCTAGTTAATTCATCAGCAGTAAGAGTTAAGGGTATATTCGGACTGAGAATTAGATAAAAACTCCCCAAATGGAAAACTGTACTAAATTCTAAGAACTTAGAGCTTTAAAACAAAAGGTTAAGGTTGCCCGAGGCAGCACCTAGCCTTGTCCTCCGCACAGCAGGTACTCAGGGAGCATTAGGTGCCCGCGGCAGTGGTCAAGCTGGAAAGGTTTAGAGAGTGGTGGTCAGTATCACCTACTGATGCTGAGTCCTGAGGTGCGGTAGAGGTGCCTCCCGCCTTCTTCCCTTGCATTCGCTCTCCTATGTTGTTCATTCAAGCCTTCGACATAGTGCACCAGAGGCAGGTGTTGGCCCCCATTACACCTGTGTGTCATCACCAGGAAATATCAAACCATTGTATGTCACAGCTGGAAATACCGGAGGAGTCAAACTTCTCGTTGGTCAAGAAAAAAACGAGGTTCCCAGGGTAGTAGGGACTTCCTAGGCCATACTGGGCACTGGAGCCAACATCCTGACTTCTCGAATGGTCTTGTTTATGTAGGAGGAAGACCACCGTGGTTAAGGGCAGAGGCTGGTGTCACACTGCCTGAATCCTCACCACACTGCCACCTACCTGCTTGGCAAACTAACAAGTTATCAACCCTCTCTCCACCTCGGTTTCCCCATTTGGGGAATGGGGTGACAACAGTAGCACCACCTCACGTAGTTGTTAGGAAGGCTAAAGGAGGCGATATATGGAAGGCACTTAGAACAGTGTGTGTTCTGTCCTAAGTACGAGATAAGTCCTATTCAAGGGTTAGCTGTTAGTAATATTTATTTAAACCTAATACTGTACTTGATTCATTATCAAGTCATGTTTTCAATAGCATGGCATTAATACTGTTAGTCTGAGATAATAATTGCTATATGATTAATATGGAAAACACTATGGGGAGAGGGAACCTCTCTTTCATGTAAGCCCTAATGCAGATAGGCTTTTGGTTATAAGGAACATTCCAACCACATGCAAAAATCCGGGGCAAAGGCGTGTTTGTTTACTCTGTTTTTCTGCCTAAGGTCTACAATGCACAATTTTTTTACAAAGAGAGAAATGTAAAATTCTAACTGGGATTTTGGTCTGGCATATATATATTATGCAAAATATTCTAATCTATTACATATTTTTGCTGACGTGAAATTAATATTTTTCCCTTCCATTTCTCTTATTGCCCCTTTTCTTCTAATTTACTGTCCCCTCCCTCTCCTCTTCCCATGCCATGGTCAGCTGAAGACAGGCCACCCTGCGCACACCCTCTTTCCATGCTGAGATCAGCCTGCTCATCTGTCTGCGTCTTTATAACAGTGCAGTGATGGCCACAGCTGATGGGCTACACACTTTTTTACTGTTTTAGCTCTCGTCAGCTAAAACTAAAGTTACTTTGTCAATGGAATACTACTAGTGGCAGTAATGGATAGATTAGAGTAAGAGAAACACTTTAAATGAAATTTTAATATATTTTGAAGTTGTGCTGAGGGACTCTGTCAACAAACCTCTCTTTTAGATTTGGCATCTGCTTGTTTTCACTTATTTTTAAAGTACCATAGATCTCAATCCCTGACTTAAATTTTTCTTGAGTTTTAACCTTAAATGTTTGTGATAAATTATAAGAAAAGTTTCTTTTCCCACTGAATGCAGAACATTGCTGAGTTTACAGGTAGAATCTTGATTTACTAAAACATGAAATGAATCCTTTCATTGCTTTCAGTTCTTTGTAAACAGGATGTAATTAATTTCAAACCCAAGTAACAGGAGTAACACATACCAGTGTAGATATATTCACCAAGAAGGAGGCACAAGTGACTCTTGGACTATAAATTTCTGCTGTAGCATCACAAATCCAGATTAGCTCCTTCAACAAGCAATATAAAATAAATACAAAAGATAAATGGATAGAGAGAGGGATGTCAGATGTATTTTTAAAAAAGAGATAGAGCTGGGCACGGTGACTCACACCTGCAATCTTAGTACTTTGCTAGCCTGAGGCAGGAGCATCACTTGAGGCCAGGAGTTTGAGACCAGCCTGAGCAAGAGTGAGACCCCGTCTCTACTAAAAATAGAAAAATTAGCATGATGGCATGCCTGTAGTCCCAGCTACTGGGGAGGCTGAGGCAGGAGGATGGCTTTAGCCCAGGAGTTGGAGGTTGCAATGAGCTACGATGATGCCATGGCACTCTAGCCAGGGCAACAGAGAGACACCCTGTCTCAAAAAAAAACAAAAAGAGAGAGAGAGAGAGAGAGAGAGAGGGAAATGTTCTTTATGGCTGTTGGACATTTCCTTTACAGTCTGTTGAGGGAAGGTAATCTCATTTGGTTTTTCCTTTTCCAACTGAGGATAAGTAATAGTGGCAGTCAGAGTCCACCACCTCTGAAACTGAGCTGGAAACCTGGCATCAGGGGACTTTGGCTGGGCCACTCTACGGATCAATGACCCTTTATAAAGTTTAATCCCAAGGTAGAGTGTTTGTACTGTACTCTTTAAAAATTAAGTCCTTAATGTCAGAAGAAGGCAAAGGAGAAAATCAAATCATAGATTCTTTTATTCCGTGTGGACGCATCATGTTTGGGACTACTCCTAAGAATCTGAGAATACTTCATTCGTAATAGTGTCTCTGGCCTCCAGAGCCTCCCCCGTCAGCAGCCTCAGCTTCTGGGGGCTTCCCTGCCAGAGGCAGAGTCGATGGCTTCCTTGTAATTGACAGAATGATAACCCCAGCGAGTGCCAGGTTAATGTTATGAATCTTGGAGGATCTGGAATTGATAGTCCTTTGAAGACAGGCACCTCTTTAGTAAACCGTGCAAAATGGGAGAACAAGCTGTGGCCTGTGAAAGGCTCCAGATGATGAAGACACGTAAGGATAACCTGGTAGCGCAGTGGGAAAATGCTAATTGGTCTCTCTGTTGAGTATCAGACCAGTTTACTATGATTTCCAGAGGCCAGAGAGTTACGGGCTCCCGCTAGAAGTCTGAGAGGACAGCTGGATCTATCCTGGGTAGGTGCCGCTTATTGCCAAGGCTGATGGTATATTATCATAATTACCATAATTTATCACAATACAAACATATTTCGCTATATGCAAAGAAAACTAAAGAACCGATTATAACATACTAGAGTATTTATCTGTACTATTGTTATTTTAGATGAAAACTATGTTTCCACAAATTATTAGTGCAGCAGTGGTTTCTCCACGTGCTAAAAGGACTTTGTTAATGCATGTTTCTTCCTTTGCAGTTTCCATTTGACACTCTGATCCCTGATGGAAAAAGAATAACTTGGGACAGCAGAAAGGGCTTTATAATTTCAAATGCAACGTACAAAGAAATAGGGCTTCTCACCTGTGAAACAACAGTCAACGGACATTTGTACAAGACAAACTATCTCACATACCGACAGAGTGAGTGACGCCCTAAGCCATGAGCATGGCCAAAATGCTCTGGGGTTTGTCTGCTTGAGGAAACCTTAATTTTAAAAAATTTTCTCTCTTGTACTTGCAGCCAATACAATCATAGATGTCCAAATCAGCACGCCGAGCCCAGTCAAATTACTTAGAGGTCATACTCTCGCCCTCAACTGTACTGCTACCACCCCCTTGAACACCAGAGTACAAATGACCTGGAGTTACCCTGGTAAAGTGAGTGGCCCATTTTTCTATTTCTTCCGCAGAATAGTATTTATTTTTAGCAAGTGAAATCCCACTGGGTGTTTGAAATGGGAAAAATCAGAAAATGATGACCCGTGTAACTGTGTTAGTCAATAAAGATGCTTTGCGTTTGGTTTGGGTGCTTTCCTTGCCTGGCATTTCGGGACTGTGATATGCACAGATACCGTCTTTTGATGTCTGGGGGTTTTGTTTGGAAGTGTCTAGCCTGGTATTTCTATTGCATGATTCTGTGTGGAAAAAGGGATTGTTTCATTCTTGGAAACTATTCTCTAGGATTTAGAGATGAGAGAGACATTTATCACTAAATGCCAGGCAGGGACTGTCTTTTGTAACAACAGCAACTTTCCAGGAGGCTGTGTTTGTCAGCGCATTCATTTCAGATACTGGCAGACAGTCAGGCACCTGATGGGAGCGTGTTTGGAAAAGATATTACAAGCAGCCATTCAATATTCCGTTTGTTAAGTGTCAGAGGAGCGATTGTGCCCTTCAGAAAAATGAGAAGAATGAAGACTGAGTTGGGTTCCCTTATAGAGACATCCTTGTAAACAATAATTACTTTAAAAATATGTAAATAGGGAAACTATGATCAACTGTTAAGAAAATTTTGACAGTACTCCCAGCCCCCACTTCTGTGTTAGTGTGATTCACGTGGCGTATCCCAGTGCGGTCATTTGTTATACCGTACACACCGTATACACAAAGCCAGCTTATGATGAAATTATGGATGAAGAATTGACGCCTCAGCCCCTGCAAGCCATTTTTTTTTAATCGACATTTCTTGCCATAGGAATAGAATAACTTGGCAACAAAAGGTGTAACAAGTGTCCTGTATTAAGGACTTACATCAGCCATAAATTGCTTTCTAAAAAGTGGTATTGTTTCAGTTACATAAAAACGCTGACTTGTAGCAATATTTTCTGAATTTTGATAGAAATCAAATATTCTCAATCAATGCCAAGAGGGAAGATACTTTTATTCTATTAGTGAGGCTACTATAAGTAAGAGTAGTGATAATACTTCTATTGAATGCCAGTAATCTTCTAAATTGGCACTTTCTGTGATGGAAATAGTCTATATCTGTACTGTCCAATACAGTAACCACTGGCCACATGTGGCTAATGAGCATTTGAAGTGTAGCTAGTGCAAGTGAGGAACTGAATTTTTTATTTTATTTAATTTTAATAGCCTCATGTGGCTGGTGGCTGCAGTACTAGACACAGCAATTCTAAGACACAGATGAATTATTTTCCAAGTCAGAAACAATACCAATGTTACTCAAATTTGGGAAGGAAAGAGTTCTTAAAGGGAGAAGTAATACCTATATACACAGGGTTGCAGAAATTCCCCTCAGTCTGTTATCTTAGGGAACTGATTCTCTGACTTTTGATAGTAGTGATGGTTATTGCCAGGAATGAAGAAAATGGCCTAACCATGTGTCTGTCTGTTCCAACATGGAAGTAAAAGGACAGGTGGGCAGATGTTTATTAAACAAGGCACAGAGGAGAGCTAAGTTCAAGACCCAAAGATCAGTTCTGGACAGCGTCTGAAGTCTTTTTCATGCCCCCCTTCCGTGCTCCCACACCCCTCCCCCACCATGGAGAAGGACTGAAAGGAGGAAATAACATGTGTTATAAAATGTAATGCTTAAAAAAAAAGGAACAATTAAAGGACAAGGCAATGTGATCTCATCTTCTCAAAGCAGTGAGCAGGTCACAGTGGCCAGTTCAGACTGCCGAGCCTCAGGCCTTCGCTTGGGCTTCCCTGAGATAAACATGGGACACCTTCCAAGTATTGGCTAAACTTGCTGATGGCTTTCTATGTCCCAGATCCATTTATTACAATTGAGCAGAAATTGGCAGCCATTACTCAAATAGTGAAATAATGCAACTGTAGGATTATTCCACCTTAGTAGGTATAGCCAGGACTCATTATCTTTTCCTTCATTTCTGGCTTCTGGGAAGCCAAAGAAAACTCACCTGGTAACTTATTAAGAGAAATACTGTCACTGAGCCGGACACTAAGGCTAATTATTGCCCACGTTTGTATGTGACAGCTATGCCTGGAGAACAGGTTACCGTGTAGAGAGGTGTGTGCGCGAGAGGAAGGACCCTAGATTTACACTCAAAAGACCTGAGTTCCTGGCCTACTTCGGCCAGTGTCTCTGTTGCTTCAGTTTCTTTATCAGTAAAAGGGCAATAAGCCTGCCAATCTCACTAGGTTGTTGTGAAAAACACATGCCATAAGGTACCTGAAAGTCCATTTGAAGAAAATTAGGTGCTAAATAAATGCTACTATGCTATGTATTTGAAGCACATCTACAGAGAGATGTAGTTTCCAAACATCTTGCTCTAGGAGGGTTTGATATGCTTCTTAGCATAAAAAAAATAAGCTGTTGTTAAAACAATGGTCTGAGACGTGTTAAAATGCTATATAACTTTAGGCATGAACAATCACTCCCATGTTTGTTATACATTTTCTTTCCAGATAAATAAGAGAGCTTCTATAAGACGACGAATTGACCAAAGTAATTCTGATGCCAATGTGTTCTACAGTGTTCTTACTATTGACAACGTGCAGGGCAAAGACAAAGGACTTTACACTTGTCATGTGAAAAGTGGACCGTCATTCAGATCTGTTAACACCTCAGTGCGTATATATGGTAAGCAATCGTTCGGCTTTGCCAACTTATGCACCAGGCTTTCTAGTCATTGTGGATGTTTGAGTTCTATAAACAAAAAATTTTCTGTTGGCCAAGAGTTACATTATCATGACTGAACACACGTTTGCCAACATTCCCTCCTCCCCTCTGCCAAAAAACAAATCACATTAAGTGCTCTTTAAATTAAATACTTTTGAATTGGACAGAGAGTCTTTCCTTTACAAGTTTATTATGGTTAATAATTCAGTCAGACCATAGGATATTTATGAAATTCTTTATTTAGTGTTCCAGATAAACAAAACAGAAAAAAATGATCAGTTTTACCTTTATTATCTGGGGAAAACTTCCCAGGTACTACCATGACTTAGAGAAATAAAAATATGGTATGATAAATTATTTAGAATTAATGCTATTTTATCCCTGGTTTTACTGTCATGGAATCCTAATATTTTTGTTTAATTCCAATATGCAAATTCCATAAAGAAAATACTTAACAACCTTCTTTCCATTCTGAGAAGGAAACCATGTGAAGAGCAGTTGATTTTTGGTATCAAATTAGTTGTTTTAGGGTGCCCAGAACAACTTTCTCCTATCTTACCCATATTCACCAGGTAGATTTTTAGAAATATCTTCCCACTTCTTTGTTATTGTGACATACATATTTAAGGTGTTTCATTTTCTGTTGCCCTGTCACTGCTTTATGTCCCTAGGACTTGGTACCATTTGATTTGAAAGTATTTCACCAGTTAAGACGCTTTTAAAGTATTTTCTTCATTGATCAACATTTGGGCTCCTTGATAGGATGGATCATCATTCAGCTCTGTTTACTCATTGATTGTACCCTCCCTTAATGAGGCCATGAGATTTTGTTTACAGAGATATATTCTTTTCTAATGTATTTATCCCTTCTCCTTTCAAAGAAAAAGCATTCATCACCGTGCAACACCGAAAACAGCAGGTGCTTGAAACTGTAGCTGGCAAGCGGTCTTACCGGCTCTCCATGAAAGTGAAGGCATTTCCCTCGCCAGAAGTTGTATGGTAGGACCATAATCATTTCCATATCAGTTTAACATACTCTTTGTAAGTAGGAAGATGTAAGAGTCCAGTGACTTGCGTTCCTGGCAAAATATCAAGAGAAGTTCTTCAGACAGCCCTAGAGAGCTAGGAACTACTTGATTCCTGGGTCCTGGAGGATGAAGCTAGGTTTGTCTGAGTGCTCATTTCGGTTTAGTTCCTTACTGTGACTACATTTCTGCATCTCTAAACCTCCCTATGATGTCAACATTCTTTGAATGGGAATGTGTTAGGCAATGACTAGGAAGCATCTTGAATGAGTAACATGCTCCATTAACCCTGAAGAAGTGAGCTCTTGTAATGAGAATGCTGAAAATAATTCTTTTATATACAGCTGGGTTGAAAGTTCCAGTCCTGTTTCAAAATTAAACAAACATTAATAGAGACAAGACTTATTCATTGGAAGGGGGGGAAGAATGGACCTACTTGAACTAATTAAGTTCTTTCTGGCTCCGAGTTTGCATATTCAGAAACTCCTTAAGCAGTTGTGTGTGTGTGTTTTTTTAATACTAGTACAACACCTGATGGAAAACAATGTAATCTGTTTATAATCTGCAATCATTTTGTTAAATTACTTTTAAATGACAATATCTTTGGTTGAAGTCATTATATTTTAAACAAAGGATATAGTACAAAACTGATTAGGAAAACAATCCATACAATATAGAAGTGGGGCCATTTTAAAATCTCCTCAACCAGAGCTTATTTGGCTTTCGATATCATGAGTACAGTGTTTGTTTTCAATTTCCTCAAATATTTAATAGGGAATTAAAGAGAAAAATTAAACTTTGTGCTGTGCCTTCATGCTACTGAAGTAGAAACGGGATTTTTTTTTTGGGATTTTATAATATCTAAAAAGCTTAATAGTAATTTTTTAAGTTTAATATTAAATTAAATAGTAATTTAATGACTCTAGGAGCTATATTCGTTCTTTTAGTGTCTGAGAGTACACTTGTCTGCTAGTGTTGATTTCTTTAGTAACTTAGTAGCAAGGGCCTAAAAAAAAATTCAACCCACTTTTAAAAATCGCTCACTAGTTAATACGAAATAATTTAGAGTAATACTAAGGTGACACTTGTATCACAAAATATAGCATAGTAATTTTAACTGCTTTGGAACCGAGACCCACTAGTAATAGGAATTTGTTTGCAGGACTATGTAATACATGGATGATTATGAACTAAATTTCCAATATCATACCTTTATACAGAATATGATAAACTCCGAATAGATTTAAAATGCCCATTTAAAGAACTGTGCATTTTAATGAAATCATAGAATTTTGGAGTTATATAGGATCTTTGAGAACCTCTCTAGAAAATTTGAGAAAACTGAGGCTCCAACAGGTTAGTCACATGTGTGGCAGCATACAGTGGGGGCAGAGCCGGGTCAAGCATCCAGGCCAGATCTCAGTTCTGCATGCAACTGAATCATGCCAAGGCACTGACTTTTTTTTTTTTTTTGTAAATTTCTTTAAGTTAATACTTTCTGTTCTGTTTGTGCCTTGACTGTTCTTCCTCAGGGGAAAAACCTTGATAACCTTGATTTCACTATAGTTTATGAAAGGTACAACTGGCGTGAGCATTTATGTAACTAATAAGAACTCCACATGAGACCACAATAGGAAAATCTATTTTTATTTTTATCTGGACAAGTGATCTAGTTGATCTGACTTACAATGGCCCTTGCACCTCTGACGGAGCCTCATGGAAAACTCTGAAAAACATCTCAGATGGAATCAGAGCTGGTGCCTCTGGGTTAATACTTAAGCCACAATGGCCACCAGCATCCCTGTGGGTACATGAAGCCACCACTTTTCTTTCTTTCCTAGCTTTACTTCTTCCTCTTTGCCAATCAATGTGAAGCATTACCCAACCTGAAAATCATACCTGCCTTTACTGAAAAGTTAGTGCCTAAATTTTTAAAATCAACGGTTTTGATCGAAGGTTCAAAACTGATAAACTGGAGCCCACAAACTTAAATGACAGTGTTATCAAAGTGACATCTGAGAAACCATGTGAAATGACTTACTAATCACACTTTTAACCACAGGTTAAAAGATGGGTTACCTGCAACTGAAAAATCTGCTCGCTACTTGGTTCATGGCTATTCGTTGATTATCAAGGACGTAACTGCAGAGGATGCGGGGGATTATACAATCTCGCTGGGCATAAAACAGTCAAACGTGTTTAAAAACCTCACTGCCACTCTAATTGTAAATGGTGAGTTTACTGTTCATACTTTCTTCTGGTTCTGGTAGGGGACAAATTAATGAAAATCTATAAATTCAGAAATCAGTATAACGACATCAAAGAAAATGAAATTTTAAATAATTACTTCGAAACCACTTCTGCTCCCATCATAACTATCTCATGTTTGCTCGTTATCTTCCATAGGCGCTATGATTTTTTTATCATTATAATCACAACAAAAATACCACAGAATCAAGTTATTAAAGCTCTCAAAACACTTCTACTATTTTTTTAAATTGGCGTTTTCTTGACAAATATGAGGGTTTATTTGTTGTTTATTTATTTGTCTGTGTTTGTTTCCCTGACATCAAAACCAATGAGAATGTGGTTCTTCATGTGTGGCCCAGGAGAAGGAACAGTTCTTGACTTCTGTCCCATTCTTCATCTCCTTTCCAGTGAAACCCCAGATTTACGAAAAGGCTCTGTCATCATTTCCAGACCCAACTCTCTACCCGCTGGGCAGCAGACAAATCCTGACTTGTACCGTTTATGGTATCCCTCAACCTACAATCAAGTGGTTCTGGCACCCCTGTAACCATAATCATTCCAAAGCAAGGTAGGGACAGTTAGTTTCTTGACTACCTTTCAAATACTTGTTGACACCTGGAATTAAGATTCTTAATGGACACAGATGGGAATTTGCAGATGGAATATGCAGTGTATTGGGGGCAAAGGCTCTCCCTGCCTTGGAAAAACGTAGGCAACCTACTCTTCTTCCTTACTGAATATACCCTACCGCTGGCTAACAATTTCGTAATTTTTCTCTCTAGTTTATAGTTCTAGGAGCACAGGAACAGAATTAAGGTCCCCCTGTGAGCCATTATTTGAGCTTGGGTTGGAACTCTAGTCTCTTGTTTCCCAGTTGAGCATCCCCAGACTTTGGCTATACCACTATGTCACACTGGTCTTCCCATTTGTCATTTTGTATTCACTGGATATGAACCAAGATCTTCCCAACATGATGATCACTATGTTTCCTACTTTGGGGCCTTGCTCATGTTCTTCCATCTCTCTGAAATGCACTTGTACCCATTGTGTGCTGTGTAAGAGTCCCTCTTTATCAAACCCCAAGGCTTAGCTTTCATGTCATCTTCTCTGTGAACCATCCTCACTGCCTCATTCAGACTCATTTCTCCCTCCTCAGTATGAACAGCACTTTGTTCACACCATTGTTACCTCACTCAATGTGCACATTTGTCTCTGTCTAAGCTAAGAGCTCATTGAGAGCAGCTCTGTATCTTTACAGCCAGGCACGGTGTCGGGACACAGTAGCTGCTCAGTGTGTATTTGCTGAACGAACATCCCTACCCTCTGTTAACTGTGCAGCATTTCCTTGCATCCTGTTGATGACTGAGCTCTGTTTGCTTTTTCCCCTTTTTGTTTAGTCTAGAGGGATGATACTAAGGATAGTTCATGGGAGCCAATTTGAAGAACAGGAATAGAATTGATACGTACAACAATAAGATATTATTGAACCTGCCCAAGAATTACCATTATGCCAGAATACTTTATTACTTTTAATTCCAATTGCAGAGTGTTTGGGAGGATTGCTATTTTAAAAAAAACAAAAACAAAACTAGGTTGATAAGAAAGTAAATAAGGCATAATTCTAGCATGAATAGATAGAAGTGGCTATTTGGTTTTCTAGATTCTTCCCACAATTCCAACTCTTCGTCCTGTGTTTTAATCTTTTGTTTAGGGTATAATACTCTGATAGTGGAAAGTTACTGGTGAGTTATGGAATTCCTGAGAAGTAGCTATTTCCACACATGTCTGATTTCTCATTTACGTCATTTTCTAAAAATAGAAATTTAAAGAACTTACAAATCTTGAATACCTTCTCCACCAATGTGGATATTTAACTCAAAAGACAGTGAGATCTACGAAATTTTGTATTATTTTGCCAATTTGGGGTAGGTATCAATATTTACAGACTCATCCCTTTAGGGTCTTGATATGTGTGCTAACCTAACATGCAAATAAACTTAAAATAACTAAATAATTTAAGCTAATAGATTTGCATAAAAGTATAGAGTTACAATTATGTGTGATAGAATATATTATTATAAATTTGATACTAATAAATTATGGTTTGGGGAATGAGACCAGCTGAAGTAAAACTTCGTAAATATTAGCTCTTTCCAATTTCTTTGTGGTATATGGGATCTTTCTTCTGTGTTATGGAATAAGCTTGCCAAGGCATGAAAAGATGTCTAATTCCTTTTGGAATTCTCTCAAGACTCAGAGCGCTGCCTTGAATGTTTGTTGACCATTTGAATTATTCTCTGTTAAAGGCATTTGTTTCTTTACTACTCACAAGACAGAAATGAAAGCTTTAAGTTTCCATACTGCTTTATTTCTTTCATATGTTATTGCTTGAAATTATCTGCCAAAAATGTGCACAACCATAAGAAGCTCTCATTCTTTTAGTCAGCAGGTACTGACTGAGTAGCCTACCTGTGTCAGGCCCAGATTTGGTGCTTGGTGGTGAAATCAGTCCACTTAACTTAGAAATGTCAGCAATATAGATGGGTCCTTTATACTCTAGGAAACAAACAACCAATCTATTTCACCCTGTTAGAGAGATAAAGCTAAAATTTACAGATAAATGAAGCCCTCTTTAATTACTAAAAATTTTAAAACATGTCTTTATATGTTTTTTATACACTTAGATTAACTCAGATTCAGTTGTAGACAGGAATTTTAAAGGATGTTCCATTGCATGTACTTATTTGGAGTTATATAGTAACATATTCACATAGTGGTATCTATATATGATCGTCAAAGGTGACTAATATACACACATCATTGTTCTTAAATATGTAGAATAATTCCTGGTATTTAAACCAGTACTGTCTGGTATTTAAACTTTAGGCTCTGATTAAAGAGAACTTCTATGTATGGCCACAGCCAAGGCTTTAGTTTAGTTTTGAGGATAGACTATATTTGTTTAAGTATCTCAAAATTATTAATTGGTTTAATATGGTCAGCTAGTTAATGTATCTAAGTTAATATAGAAAGAGGTTCAGACTTAAATTGTGTAGTTTCTTGGAGTCTAATAAGTATGTAAATATATTTTAAAATTATCAGAACTACTGCTAGCTCAACTAGAAACTTCCTCCCTTTTAAAAAAAAGTGGTAAAATGTTTTATGCAAGTGAGCTATGTTTTAACTGAGTAATACTGTGGTTTTGGTTTTGCCAGAATTTGTTCTTATAAAATATTAGGAATAAAAGAGAAAGGGAAAACCCATAGCTAATGAGCCAAGAAGAAATAAAGCAGAATCCCCCTTTTACTTTTCTGCATTAAAAAAAAGTAAAGTGGTAAGAAATAGGAGAACTAGCATATTTCTTTTGAATATTAATAACATTAAAATAAGTTATCAACACTGAATGAGATGGAATTTCTGAGCTTTTCTCATCCTCAGCAACTGGTAGAAACTTCTAAATAGATATTCCTAAACCTGTTCCGTGTTAGGCTGGGCGTAAACCCAGGAAGCATCCACAGGATGTAAAGCGTATGGTACCTACACGTGTCTGTGGTTTGCAGCTTCTGTTCATATTAGACAGAGATACACACTTCATAGAGAGAATGTGAGGATCCGATGAGGCAACGCATGTGGAAACGGTACGGAGTGCCACAGGGTTGTAATAATTGCTAGCACTGGGATACCTAGTGTTCTGAATAAGACCCAAGAACTTTTAAGGAACTTGAAAGGAAATTTCTGCCTACTATAGAGCTAGTTTCACAAAAGTGAGAAATTTTACCAAGCATTTCTGAGAAATGAACACAAATGGGGAAAGTAAAACATAATTTTGTTGTGCTTTAAAAATAGAAATTTAGTAGGTATTGGGGGGGAAATGGGTAGAATTGAGGAAAATATGGCTTTTCAGAAGAAGAGAAATTAAGGAACTATAGAAGAGTTAGGCAAAAGGAAAAAGAAGAATAAATAGAAGAGTGTTGTGGGGGAATGAAGTAACTCTCCCAGTCTGTGTGTCCTGTCCCATTCATTTGTTTCCTCGGCATGGGAGGAAGCGGTTCTGCCCTGCGGGTTGGTTGAAGCTGGCATGGGGCTGAGCGGGCATGCGGCAGAGCCGCCTCCTGCTGGGCCAGGGCACACTCGATTTCTAGAACTTCACATTCCCCCTGCATTTTGAAGAACTGAGCAGGACTACCAAACCTCTGGAGCAATGAACTACTCTTGATCTCATAGTCCCTGGCGAGCTTTGCTCCGCGCTGGTCCACTCTCACAGGAAACATCGCGTAGATGAGATTGCCCACAACAAGGAGGTTGGTCTCTAAAGGAACAAGTCACAACACAGAACAGGATTGGAGGGAAGGGCCCTCTCTGGGTAATGGAAGGGGTGGATTTGAGGAACTCAGGGGAGGATGGGGAAAGGGCAGGCCTGGCATAATCAGTTTGCACTCCAGATCACCATTTGCTCAGGAAGGACCTAAGATGTCGAAAGGCCGCTTTATTTATGTGTGTTTGAATACCAAGGAGACCCTCAGGTAACCGACTGGAGAATTTTATAGCCCGAATGGGTCCTGGAGCTGGCTGTTGTCTATTTCCCACAAACAGGAGGTGGTGAGGGGGGGTCTACTGGATCATCCTTGCTCGCACCCTCCATGCTCTCTGATCACCCCCCTATTAGTGTTCAGAGTCGACCTGGTTGTTTCTGGGGTTATCTCTTCTTTTTCAAAGTAAGGTCTGTTTCAAATATGCTGAATGTGTTTGGGTCTATAGGGAGGTTCAAGGCCTGCAGCGTTTGATTACTGTAGTTCTGTTTTGAGAGCACACGTTCTTTAGGTCACAAACCACTTTAATTCTCTCTCCCCATCTACTGCAAATCATAATTTCAGAGTTATAAATAACACTGATCTATCATTAAAGATATAGTTGTGACATATACTATGCTATTCCCCCTCTAATGGGAAAAAAAAATCCTCAGGTAACATTGAGTTCTTTGTGAAAATCTCATTTTCTTTACAAGCTATCTGTGATGACCAGTCAAAATATAGAGAGAGAAACTTCTGCTTACATTGTGTTCATATTGTTCACATCGTACAATTTTCGTATACCATTGGTAGTCAGTCTAACTATACTGTCAATCATCTGCTCATCGCAAGTATTTATTAGGCACCAACCATGTGCAAAACAGAAAGATGACCACCATTTGTCTGTAGCATTTATGGTGATTACTTGTTGGATCTATGTATGTACCTGCAAAACGTCTATTACGCAGTCTCAGGGCTGGAGACCTGGGAGTCAAGGAAATGGGTTCTATTCTTGGCATAGTCCCTGACTTCTGCGTGACCTTGGCCAGTTATTTAATCTGCGCTTCCATTTCCCCTTCTGGAAATGGTCACCGCTGTGCTTCCCCTTTCCTAGGACACACAGCTATGAATGAGTTAAGTCAGAAAATCACTTTAAATTACATTTTCTTCCTTCAAAAAAGCTTGAAATAATTTTCCAGTTGTTGCACAATGCTATTTCCATTCAGTTCCTTATAAACTATAAAGCAATTTGACCATTAACTCTGAAGATCAGTGCCAA